CCGGGGATGGGCTGCGGGGGACACACCGGGAGCTCTGCCCCTCCTGCCACGCACCGACCGCCCCAAAAAAACCCTCCAAAAGGGGCTTTAGGATAACCCACGGCNTTTTAATAGGTAGGAGCAGGGCAGGTACCAAATTCCCAGATTTCAGGTTGGGGTTTAGACCTTAATCACTGATTTTTTCCTTTTGGAGGAAAAAAAAATAATCAGTTATAAAATTTATATTTATTTATATATATTATTTATTTATATTTATATATAAAATTTATAGTGAGTTAATAAAAGTATTTATTAAAAAATGTGGGGGGTTTTTTATATTTTATATAAAAATTTTTTTTTTATATTTTTATATTTTGGTATTTGAAACATTCCCAACAGATAAGGAAAAACATGGATTTGATTTTGATTTTTTGACCTGCACATCGTCCAAACCCAGAAATTCTGCTGGTTCCAAGGATATTCCACTTGGATTGCCTAAATCCCATTAAAAAGTGATATTTTTAATGGGATAAATCCCATTAAAAAGTGATATTTTTAATGGGATAAATCCCATTAAAAAGTGATATTGTGGCTGTTTTCTGCTGGGTGAGACAACATTTATCACCTGACTTGTCAGGGGAAGAAAATCCATGTCCCACTTAGCCTGGATCAGCTGGGAATCATAAACATCATTTAATATTTGAGTTAAATTGTTTTCACCGCCTCGTCCTGATGATTAATTCTGGCTTCAGGATATTCCTGGGAAGTAAAAACTGAGAGCAAAACCTGCTTTGAACCCCATTAATCCCAAGGAAAACTCTTCCTGCTGTCACAGGGGGGTCTGAGGACACAGGAATTCCCAAACCCACCCAAAATTCCCCCTTTTCCAGAGAATTCCTATTTTTTTCCTGCATGCAGAGCATGGGGGATGATGGTTTTTATTTGCTGGAGGAGGAGCTCATCAGCCAGACTTGCTCTATAAATTCACATTTAATTCCCCACTCAGCTACCCCAGAGCTGCAGGAGTTGTGTGGGACAGGGATCTCTGAATCTGTAAAACATTCCCTCCCAAAAAATACTGCAAATAAAATCCATCAAAAACAGGGCAAAGCAGGCAGAAATTTATATATTTTACACATAAAACACATAAATATGATTTATATCATATTTTTATATGATGGATAGATATCCATGATCTATCATCATGGACAGATCTCCATCCATGGATGTTCCAAGGAAAATCCAGTTGTGTTTGTAATAAAATCAGAGTAAATCCAGTTGCACCCCAGCAGTGCCTGACATGAGCTCCTTCCAGCCAAATTCCCAGAGGGAGGAGAATTCCCTGCTCATCCCTAAACCTGCAGCTCCCACAGCCCAAAATCCTCCATGGAAAGGGGCAACTTCCATCTCCAGGGAAAAGTTGTTTGGCTACAGGCACATCTTTGTTATTGTTCTTATAACAGATAATGTTATATATTATATATAATATCCTTATTCTATATTATTATATGTTATATATTTATGTTATATATAATATCCTTATTCTGTATTATTATATAATATAGAATATATTTATGTTATATATAATATCCCTATGCTATATTATTATATATTTATATCTAATAATATATGATTTTATATATAATATACATATATATTATATAATTATATATATTATATACATTCTATATGATATCCTTATTCTGTATTATTCTATATTAGATATAATAATCTATATAATTATATATTATATATATTTATCTAATATATAATTATATTTATATATGTACATAATATATAACTATATATTATAATATATATTATATATAATATTATATATAAATTATATATTATATAAAATATAATTATATATGATATATAATATCTATTATATTTAATTTATAGAATATATTATATATTATATTATATATATAATATTATTATATATAATTATATATTATATTAATTTATATTATTATATAAA